GTTTTTAGCTAGATTCAAAACAACATTGTAAAATGACCTAGCATCATTTATTAATGCCTTTTTTGCCTTAACCTTCTCCCAGGCCATTCTTTTAATTTTTCCTCCCACACCATCCACAGCACCTTTGCCATGAGATGTTGCAAAGAAATGCCAGACACCTTTAATCACTTTTGCATGAAGCAAAGATTTGACAAAGTATATTTGTTTTTAAATTGGCCTGCGCAACCATCGGAAAAAATGTCAATGTATTTAAAGCTGAATAGGAGTTTCTCAGCCATTCAATGATATATTTCAGAAAAACCCAAACACTAACTTTGTCGTGAACTAGATTATCGCTGACAAGGGCAAAGGAATGACACTTATCTTTTACCCAAAACACAGCAGTAAATATAGTGACTTGTGGATGACTCCAGTGGGCGCTCTGAATTTCATCCTTTGCTAGTGCAGGAATATTTTTCTGCGAAATCCACTTGGAGGACAACTTTTTTTTCAGTCAATTCGGCTTTAGCGAATTTGAATTTTTTTCTTGCACAGTTTTCACAAAATGCTGAGTTTTGAACTGACACAGCAATCCCTGCAGGAATTCAAGTGCCGCTTTCACTGGTCCTAATATATGAAGTAGTTGTGGTCTTCTAAGTAAATTTTACCAGAATTTACAGGTTATATCCAACTAAGCATACCCACTTAAAATTATCAAAGGGACGAGCGCATATTCGATATCGTTCTCACATTCCTCGCATTCTCATTCATACACTCACTTGCATCAATGTTGCAACACAAAGCTAGCAGTAACTCTTTAGAATTTTGTGGAAATGTTTCAAGTTCTTTATGTATACTTTCTACCAGATAACTAAAGTTAGCATGATACTTAATAATATTTGGTTATCTTAACTTCTGTATCAGGATTTTCTTCTAAAAATAATGCGTACGCCTGTCTCACTGATAATGTCATGTGTCGTTTCTGCAGCTTTGCCTTCTCGTCTTGAATTTTCACTGATACAACATCCCTTTTAACAGGAGCTTGGCGGCTAATATAGTCACGAACCTAAAAATTCTCCACCTGTCCCCTCACTTCTTCACTTATTTTGTTGTGTCCTCCACCTTTTTTGCCCTTAAGGAGTTGGTCGGCAATAACATAAGATGCCAATTTCGTCACAATTTCCCGGCGTTTTTCTGAGTTTCCAGGCAAAACGCTTTTGATTTTTTAAATGCCTTTCCCAGAGCTTGTGGAGTCTTGAATGCACTTGTTTCTGTCGTAGTCTTTTGTTTTCTCATTTTATTGCGATAGTATCTTTTTCAGCTAGCTTCCTATTCTCTTCTAGCTTTTAGAACTTCCGACGAAATGAAACCATTAAGAATTTTCTCTTCGAGAGCTCTTCTATAGATTTTTTTCTTCTAGCATCCTTTGCTTTAAATTTTGTATAGTCGTTTTTGGTTCAATTTAAGGTTTTCTCTGCGTTTACGGCCTCGTTCCTTTTCATTTTCTTTGGTGCGCATCTTGTTCTTTGCCTAGAACAATAATGTATCTAATAAGTGGATGGACGGGATATATTTTGAGATGCGCTTTTGACAATAAACAACTTGGCCTAAATCGAAAAACAACATGAATATGTTCCGTATCAAGCCAAATTGCAGATAACTTAATAATCATCAAAAAAATGTTCAATGATTTTTTTCTATACATGAAATATGTTTTTTGTGGGATGAACGGGAAAAAAAGTACTTACCAATTTCTTTTCAAATCGAAAGAAAATCACATGAAATTCGGAAATTACTTGCAAATTCCACAAAGTAGACGGCACCACAAATAAAATGACAGTGACAGAAGACGTCATCCTGTTTTTGTTCTGGCCAACTGCGAAAAGTTATTGTAAAATAAGCTCCAAACTGTTAAGTGTATATTAAATGAAGAATATGGCGCCAAATAAATACTCTTCCACTTTTGAAAAAGAAATCATGTGTTTTATGGAGTCGATGAGCTCTCAGTTAATCACATTACAAAAAAACTTGAGATCGTAAAAGTTTATTTTTTATTAGAGGGTTACTTTTGCTTGAAATGACCGTAATGCGATATTGTTGGGTTAAATGAAATAACATGCAATAATTGTGTTTCTGTCTACTTTGCGTGGGCATGAACGCCTTCTTCCATCTTTTTTAGGTGCTATAAATTTCGGATCCGTTTTACGTATATTTTTTAACAAAATTTTCATTTCATTTTCATTTTCTTTTTCACACCAAAATGCCACTAAGAAAAATATCTTGCAAACGCTTACTTCTTTGGCTTTCAGATGTCAAATAGTATTTGTAGGAATAAACTCTGGGTGATGTTTGATTTTTGGTTGTACTTCTATTTTTTTACGTTCTTTTACCCTTTCCAAAACAAACTATATTGCTGTCCCTTTGGTAATAGCCAGTACCTATTGTTTATTAATGTCTCTTTGTCCAGTATATGCAATTTTTTGGGTGCAATTAAGTTCCCTGCCGAAAATGCACCATAGAAACCAATAAAAAAAATATATATGGGTTTCTATCGGGCGCAATATGTGCATTGGCATAGGTACATCCTTATACAAGCCAATAGACTTTATATTTGCATATCCCGATAGAAAACCATTACATTTTTAGGAAATTCCGTATAGAAACCAATAAAAAAAATATATATGGGTTTCTATCGGGCGCAATATGTGCATTGGCATAGGTACATCCTTATACAAACCAATAGACTTTCTATTTGCATATCCCGATAGAAAACCATTACATTTTTAGGAAATTCCGTATAGAAACCAATAAAAAAATATATCTATGGGTTTCTATCGGGCGCAATATGTGCATTGGTATAGGTATATCCTTATACAAACCAATAGACTTTTTATTTGCATATCCCGATAGAAAACCATTACTTTTTAGGAAATTCCCTATAGGAAATGTATTAAAATAATATACCAATAAATCTAACAAGTATTTATATTATATACACAAACTCACTTGGTAAAAAATAAATAAATTTTTAGTAAATCTTCCAGTAATTTTTACCAATCGAGATTTTAAATACACGACCAATAACCGTAGAATTATCGATTGGTACGCCCTCACCGAGGGATATTCTTATTAAAAAAATATATCTATGGGTTTCTATCGGGCGCAATATGTGCATTGGTATAGGTATATCCTTATACAAACCAATAGACTTTCTATTTGCATATCCCGATAGAAAACCATTACATTTTTAGGAAATTCCCTATAGGAAATGTATTGAAATAATATACCAATAAATCTAACAAGTATTTATATTGGAATTCCCAACACAAACTCACTTGGTCAAAAATAAATAAATTTTTAGTAAATCTTCCAGTAATTTTTACCAATCGAGATTTTAAATACACGACCAATAACCGTAGAATTATCGATTGGTACGCCCTCACCGAGGGATATTCTTACTAACGCCACGGCGTAAATTTAAACTGCGCAGTTTAAATTTTATCGTTAACGGCCAGTATAGTCCTTCATCTATGGTGTAACCTGTCGATGAGAATTCAGCAATTGCTATTATATATTATATTCCTATTATATATTAATATGGCAAGTGGAATAATCAAGAAATCTAAAAAACCATACAAACAATACCTACAACCGGGAAACTTAGAACATATGTGCTCTAATGTTAAAAAACGGCTTCTTTTATATAAAAGCAAATGTACATTGTTGTATTGAACTAATTAAAACAAAATTAAACAATTATAATACGATAGGTATTTTAAAGAAATACTTACCACCTGTACTAATTATACCTATATGCCCTATTATAGTATTCATTTTCATAAAGAACACTATATGTTTTAGTGGGATTGTAATCGTTTACATTAAACCTTTTTATTTTCCCTGCTGTTACAGTGGCGACCACGTTGTCCTTAACATATTTTACATAAACAAAGGGCTAAAACAATTGGGGTTTTAATTATAAGTTATAGAATTTGACATTTTAAATATTACCATGATTAAAATTTTTTCTATAGTTTACTTGGTTGTTTTCTATAGTTTAATACACAGAACTTAGTTGTTTTCTACACAGGCACAGAACTTAAGCGTACAACAATGGCGGAAACACGAAACAACTGCGTCCTTTAACTGCGTCGTACGTGGGAGACAAGGATCCCCTCCATAGAGACCACGTGACGTTAACAGTGCCACAGTTGCTATAATATGCCACCGTCTGCGTCCAATCATTGTACTTTAATTAATCGGAAATTCCCCATATAAACACGTTTCGTTACACCAAAATTTCGTATTGAATTAGGAAATCCAAATACAGGATTTTCCAAAAAGAAACCAAAGGACACCCTAAGAAATTGTATTTAGTTGAGAATTAATCGGAAATTCCACATACAAACACGTTTTTTATTGAATTTGGAAATCCCAATACGGGTTTTTCCAAAAAGAAACCAAACGACACCGTAAGAAATAGCTGGTAACTAATAGGAAATTTCCCATACAAACACGTTTTGTATTGAATTTGGTAATCCAAATAGGTACCTACTGGTTTTTCCAAAAAGAAACGAAACGATAGCATTTAGTTGGAAATTAATCGGAAATTCCCAATATAAACACTGATTGTTTTGAATTGGCAAATCCAAATAGGGGTCTTTCCAATAAGAAACCAAAGGACACCATAAGAAAATGCATTCAGTTGGGAATAATTCGGACATTCCCCATACAAACACGCTTTATATTGAATTGGGAAATCCAAATACGTTTTTTTCCAAAAAGAAACCAAACGAAACCTATAGATTTAAGCTCTAAGTGGGATTACAGATTCATACCAATAGACGAATCTTTTGCTTCCCATTTGATACCCATCAACCGGATTCAACCCCATAAAAACCTATTCAATTTCATGTTGGTTTCAATTGGTTTGTAAGGGTCATTTTCGGCAGGGTTTGCATTTACATGACTTTTTAACTTCATGAGCTCTTTTGTAACTCCATATCTTTTGTTTCTTCCCTTTAACTAGTGGTTCTTTTTCTTATTTCTCTAATTTTTGTATAGAGTTTACTTTCTGCTTTTTCCACTGCTTTATCTATAATCTTTTGTAAAATATTTTCTCGAATGAAGACCTGGACAGAGTTAAACTCGATTTCTTCAGGTTCTATATCAGATACATTCTTCTGACGATTCCCTGTACAGTCTTCTTCCTCAACATTTGAATAATTTGGAGTATTTAAGTCTGCCTGATTAACACTTGCAGGGGCTACCAATAAAACATTGGACAAGATGTGTACTTTTTTACTAGATTGAGTAATTTGGGTATCTTCGTAACTAGGATCCAACTCCCTTCCACTTGTATTGCCTAATTCACTGGATAGCCCTGGTACATAATCTGAATCATTATTACGTTTGGCCTTATTAATTTGATTATAACTAATAACAGTTGCATATTTAAAGCAAGAGATACCATACGCTTGCATCGGCCACCACTGTGCCGGCTGACTGATGGACTACAAAGCGAAAATTACAATAAGATATTATTTTAAAAATAAGGAAATATCGCTAAACATGACAAACACGTTTCATATCACTTATTTGAGGTTATGTTACATACAGTGGCGGCTGGTGGATTTTGGGTATACCAATATCTCAGTTATTAGACATGGGACCCACACCAAACTTAAGTTTTTCCTGTTGCCTCACCCGCCTCCAGGCCCCCCTATTTGAGATAATTCAAATTAAAGTGGTGCAATTTATTATCCACTATAATTTTATTGACAAATTTAAAATTTTATTTAAAAAATCTAAATATTACAGGTTTTATATCATTTTAAATATTTTTTTGTTTTAATAAAATAAATATTAAAAATTTAAAAGCGAATAAAATCTGTAATATTTGGATTTTTTAAATAAAATTTTAAATTTGTATTTGGATTTTTTAAATAAAATTTTAAATTTGTCGATAAATTATAGTAGATAATAAATTGCACCACTTTAATTTGAATTATCTCAAATAGGGGGGCCTGGAGGCGGGTGAGGCAACAGGAAAAACTAAATTTTTTTCGCAAACTTCAATTGAAATTCTGTTTGCGCCGAACTTGTTTATTTAATGTCATTATAAACTATTATAAATTTGGTGTGGGTCCCATGTCTAATAACTGAGATATTGGTATACATAAAATCCACCAGCCGCCACTGGTTACACATATGTTTCTGTCATGCTAAGCTTAATTGTCCTAACTGATGTGCTCAACAGAAAAAATGCTAGCTTAAATTGTCCGACCTGCTTTTTTAAGGCAAAACGGACTATATATCTTAGTAAATGTTTGATCGGAAAATTTATGTTAGCGAATATGGCTTTTTATTCACTTAGGTCAATACATTTAGATATATAATAAAGATGTAGAAAAAACTGTTTACAATTACAATGAGCCAAAAATGTCAATTTAGATTTTTGACACACTCGTTTAAATAAATAATATTAACATAATTTTTTGAACAATTTAAACATTTGCTTGACACAAGCAGCTTTAATAATAATATCAGTTGGACAATTTAAAGACCATATATTTTTACCTTAAGTTTTTAGTTGACTTTTGAAAGATGAAAAAAATCTGTCATGTTTTCATTTACCCTATTCCTTATGAGGAAAATGTAAACAAATATTTTGTATGCCATAAACTTTAATATAAAATAACTTGGGGTAAATATGAACATTCTTGACATTTACCCCATGATAGTTTAGAGGAGAAAATAAAATTCAGTTTAGTGACAAAAATATTTTAAAAAATTTTTTAGGCTTGTTCTGATACAGGAACTCTACTTTTAAATTTATAATAAATTCTTTCCCCTTTTTGTAAAGTTTCTGGGTCTGGCAGTACACCATTATTTGATCCATGCCAATACAACTAACTACAACATAAAAAATGGTTTTTGAATCATCTGCTGCTTTTAAACCAATAATTTTTATTTCACAAACTTCTTTATCTACGTTTTCAATAGAACAAACGTGGGGAAAAACGGTAGTATTACGCTTACCTCCTTTAAATGTAATAAGAACAAATTGTTGTAACCTTTACTTAAGTTAGAATTTCTAATTATAAAGTTACTTATGGCTGCTGCTTAATTCGAGGCTGGGTGTGGGTTCGTATTTTTAAATCTTTATCTTCGTAATTCAAATTGGGCGCCAGCCGAGACCAAATCGACAGGTAGTCTTAGGTGAGGGATGATTATCAACAATACAATCTAATACAACACAATTTCTTATTAAAACAAAAATTTAAACGTTAACAGGTTAAGTTAAAGTCAAAAATTAAGTTAAGGTTAACACGACAACTTGAAAGCATTTAATCAATTAAGTTATGGCAAAACCGCCAACTTTGTGTCAGCCTACGCAGAGTAAAACCGGCTACACCGCGTCATGTGAACTACTATCTTCACCTAACTATCAAACTTAATCTACTTAAAACTAAGAAGTGTTCCTGTCAGTGATTTAACTATTAAAGATATTAACAATATAGGTAAGTAAGTATACATTTCCTAATAATCTATTCCTAACAAGGTTCTGTTATATTCCAGCCAAACAATCATATACCTATAACTCCTATACGGGTAATTGACAATTCATTCAATGTGCAATTGTTCTTGCCGTAAAAGAAAGATGCCCTTATTTCAAATGTTAAATGGGAACTTTTGCGCATGTGCCTTACAATATAACACGCCCGGTTTTAAATTCGCCAAATTTAAAAATTCTTTTCCTTGTCATTTTCTTATAACCTCTTTGGTCGAAAACATTGTTTTTGTTTGAAAAAGAGTTTTTATTAATTTAATTTAATGCAGCTAGTGTTTAAAATAAATGGGCAAAATCATAATTGCAATTCTCTTTTATTTAATCAAAAAAACTGAATAAAAAACCAGATTGTTGACGGCTGGCCAAAAACAAATGACCGATTTAGAAAAATAATTAAATATTAAAGGTTACTAACATTCCCAATCTCTTGGCAATCTAATAAAAAAATAGGTAGGTAGGTAGGTACTATAAGTTCATAGTAGGTATTTGGTAAAAAGTTAATTGTTTTACCATAATAAATGTAAAATAATACATACCAAAATTTTGATTAAAGCGTAATTGTAATAAACCAGAATCACAGGCGTAAACACAAAATAATAAACAATTGTTTATTATTTTGTGTTTATGCCTGGTTAACCAAGATGGCAGTGCATTGTTGCCAAATTGACTAAGACAGATTATATACTTTTTTTAAATAATAATTTTGTAGATTTAAATAACTACAATTAGGCTAAAATTATTCAGACAATAAAACAATAACGTTTAAAAAAGATATTTTTTAAATTTTTACCATATTTACCAGTAAAATTTGAATAAAGAAATCCTCTAAAAGACAATATAAAAGAAACAAGGCAAGCTGTAGTATACTACAAATATATTTTAATAGTGTAGCATGCGCATTGGAAACATTTTATCATTTGAGATAGATACATATACCTGTCTCTTAATAATTGCAAGGGGCGTGGTAAGTCGTTTATGTACTACCTTAATAATTGTCTGCGCCGGCATCCATCAGTATCGTAAGCATAGAAGCAGTGGTTTTTTGGCAAAACTTAATTAATAACTTCTTGTAGGATTAATATGTAGCATTCCAAACTAAAGATTCAAGTATACCAGGCGCCAGAGCATTCAAACCAGGCAAATAACTTTCTCGACACTAGATCCACATTTACATGTGTTGTGAAATGACTGGGACGAGGGAACAAAAACACTGCTATGCCAATTCAATAAGTTTATTGTACAGAGAACTTTCAGAAATCTACAAAAAAAATACAAGTTACAAAAACCTAACCTAGCTTAACGACGCGTGGCCGCGCCGGCAACATTGTGGCGGGTCAGGCAAACCGCGATATATCATTGCATAAACTCACCTGCAGCTACAAGGTAACAGAAAGCAAATCTCTGGGTGTTGCACTGTGTCATCAAACTGATAAAATCTAGCATTTATTGTAGAGCGTACGGCGGTAAATGGCAAATCGGAGAAGCAATGTCGCGCTGAATATTTCACTCGCCAGAGTGCGCTGTTCGCCGCTCGCGATACGAGGGTGATGCGAAAAGTGTGGACCTTTCGCAACACGAGGGTGACACGAAAAGTGTGAACCTTTCGCATGGGAAGGCATTATTCCTTTGCACCTGCCCCCATCGTTGAAGGACAACCGGTTAGGGGTCGTACGGCGAAATACGGTTTAAGCTGCGTCACATGAAATGTGCCTCGCTCCCCGCCATTTTCGGGATATAACAGGACGTAAGAGTGGGTGGCAATTCGCTTTTTAACTCGGTAGGGATCTTCAAATAGGGGCATGAATTTCTTTGTTTGTTGATGCAACACGGAAGAGATAGGGTTCGCTTTTACTAGCACAAGGTCATTTTCGTCAAAAACGGGAGGTGGCTTCTTCTGCGTTAGTGAGCTTTCTTTGTTTGATTTCCTTCTCATGTTTTCGGCTGCTCGGAACAATTTAATATGATTATCCTCAGATACGAATGTGGGTCGCGCGTCCTGTAAAGGGGAATAAGGAAGCGTGCCGAAATGTAGTTCCGCCGGAGAATAACCCGTACTCACGTGAGTTATATTGTTTAAGAATCTAGTAAAGGTACAATATGTGCGAAAAAGGCGGCCAAGTTCGCGCATTATCCTTTCAGATGGGTTTCCCCGAGGGTGCCTAACAGAACAGAAAGAGGCCGCTATGCCCCATTTTTGTAGGGTGGTTTTCCATTTTTTGGAGTTAAACTGGGTTCCCTGATCACTTTAAATGCGTGCCGGAATCCCCAAATGAGGAATATAGTGGTTTTGAAGGCGGTTTAAAGTGGCTTCGGTAGTAGCTCGTTTCAAGGGGTACAAGGAAACGTATTTGGAAAAAATATCAAGCGCCACGGAAGCGGACCATAATAATCTACTGCAACTAAATCATTAGGGCCTTTAGTTGTTATATGTTCTAGCTCTGTTTTGGGTAAGGCAGACACTTTTGCTTTTTGACAGATTTCGCAGTAGGTTAGCTTTCGTTTAATGCGCGGATGCATTCGGGGAAACCATACGTCCCTGCGCATTGCGCACCACGTTTTGTACACCCCAAAGTGACCGAATTGCACGTGGTAATACTTTATCACTCTATCGATCAGTGTCTCCGGTATACATAACAAGTACGGCGAATCGTCATCTTTGCGGAGGTACAGTAGTTCTTGATGTAAGATATAGCGGTTCACCGAAGAACTGTCCTTGTTCATATTCTTAATAGTTTCCGCAAACCTAGGGTCGACTCGTTGCTGATTTCCCACCTCCTTGAGTATTTTTACGAAATCGTCATGTTGATTCGATAACACCTTAAAACACCTATCTTGCGGAGAGGGTAACCTAACGGGGGGATTACGCGAAAGGACATCTGCCACGACGTTTTCCGAACCAGGTATATACTTAATTTCGAAAGTATATTCTTGTAGCGCCAGTATCCATCGGGTAATGCGGGGAGACAATAATCTGCATGTGTTTAGGTAAGACAACGATTTATAATCCGTTAATATGGTAAACGGTCGCCCCACCAAATAGATACGCCATTTTCTAAGTGCGAAAACGATCGCTAACAACTCTTTCTCCGGCACCGAGTACCTGGTTTCTCGCGGCAATAGCAGCCGACTCGCGTAGCTTATAACCTGCTGGTTGTCATTACTAATTTGAAACAATACCGCGCCTACCCCCACATCACTACTGTCGCATGCTACATAAAATTTCTTTTCCGGGTCAGGGTGATGTAATAGCGCTTCCTGGCATAATGATTCTTTAATTTTATCAAAAGATTTTTGTTCCACTTCCCCCAGGACCATTTTGTACTCTTTCGGAGGAGCCTGGTAAGGGGAGCTATAGCCGACGCAAAATTTTCGACGAAGTCCCTATTAAAATTAGCTAAACCTAGAAAAGCTTGCAATTCTTTAATGTTTTTAGGCGGCGAAAAAACTTGTAATGACTCCGTACGTTTAGGATCGGGTTTTAATCCCTGATCATTTAGTATGTACCTTAGAAACCACATTTCTTCCCGGAAAAACCCGCACTTACTTAGTCTGACGGTAAAATTTGCTTCGTAAAGGCGCGTTAAAACTATGTCGAGATGCTGCAAGTGTTCCTCCAAACTACGTGAGGTTATCAGTACATCGTCTACGTATACGTGGACGAAACTGTCTAGGTAAGGAGATAACACTTTCCTCATGCACCGAGTGAAGCTGGATACCGCGGTTTTAAGCCCGAACGGGAGTACTTTAAACTGATACGCTTGGGTACCATGCCGAAAGCCCGTATACCGCCTATGTTCCTCTTTCATCGGAATCTGCCAATACGACGCAGTTAAGTCTAGCGAAGACATATACCGGACCCCATGGAGATCGTTCATGATCTCGTTAATCCGTCGAGGAAGTTCGTTGTCGGCTTCTGTAACTTTATTCAGGCGCCTTGCGTCTATACATAACCGGACCGACCCGTCACGTTTTACCACGGTCATGAGAGGACTACAGAATGATGTGTTGGACCTTTCGATGATTCCCCATGCCTCCATTTTCGCGATTTCTTTATTCACGGCTTCGCGATGCGCAATCGGTATGGGATATTGTTTCACGCTAAAAGGAGTTTTATCCGTTAGATTTATTTCGAATACATATTCGGAAGTTAGCCCTGGTTTATACGAAAAAACTGCACAATGTTTTTCTAGCAAAGTTTCTAAACGATTTTTTGTTCCTGATTCAAATTCGTTTGGTTAACTAACCCCCCAAATTCCTCTGTTTTCTTAGCAAAAATTTCTTTGTCCGGATAAGACGTATGAACCGCATTTATTTGAAGGTGACAACTGCGTGGACTTTGTGGCGCTTTCCCGGGATCCATTTCGGGGATTTTGTACCTTTGATGATTGTTGGTAAGATTTACGCAACCATTTTGCAAGTCTACTGTGCCCCCATACCTCTTAAAAAATCTGCCCCCAATATAACTGGGAAA